CCAGAATTCGAAGGAGAACAAGAAGAATACTAACAAATTATTTGAATTCCCACAGTCTGTATTTTTTTTTTACAAAAAAAAAAGCCTAAAATAACTGCTTTCATTTGCATCATCTTCATTCATTCATGACCTTGTAAATATAAGAACATAGGTATAAAATTTCCAAAAAACAAACTGTGTGGTGCAAATGTTGAAGACTCCCATAAACAAGAATCTGCTACTCACGAATGAATGGATTCAACAATTTAGTCAAAAAACAGATAATTCTACCCTATGTCTGTATTTAAGTGTCGCTGGTGTGTTTTCCTGAAGTTGTAATGTTCACATTTTTGTAACTGGTAATATGTCCAAAAGTAACTATCTCACCAAATATTTCTTTTTAGTGGGAAATAAATAACATAACTACAATGCACTACGTAGCAGCATTTCGAGTATAAATTTAAAACTAAATACCAGTACACTTGTATTTTATTTTATTTTTTGTTGGTAAGTGAATGAAATCAAAGTAATAGCTTCTATATAACTCTCTGGGACTGGTTTTCAATAAGCTTGTACTTCCAGTAATTGCTTTAACATGGCTTGTATTTTGTTTATTATTCACATTATTTATTATAACACTTTTCAATAAAATGTCCTCCAGTACTTTATTTTTAATAGATAATTTAGGAATAGGAATTTTGAGAATATTAAAATAACATTTCTTCAAAGAAATTCATCTGCTTGTCTAACTTTAGTTCAGTCTTCAGTGGATTACAGAATAATTAACACATACTAATGGTTGAAAGTTTTAATTTTTAGATATATTTTTTTATATAGCAAAATTCTGTTTTAGATGGTATTGTATTTAAAAACTTAAATTAATCCTACAATGAAGATTGATGAGACATGTCAAAAATAGTGTTTACAGATCAGTTAACAACAGAGTTTTCCCCGTCTGTGTAATTTTTTTAACTTGTAAAAAATGTAAAAATTAAACCAATTTTTTTTTTGCCATGGTACCACAGCGCACTTTAAGAACAGCAGGCTTAACCTTTATCACCTGGAATCTTCATTTCAAAATGTTATAACTTAGACAAAGAGAAATTATGTTGAGCATGTTTTAGAACTCTGCTTTAAGGTGACTTGCATGTTTGAAGCTGGGCTTCTTCAAAGTCTGTGATTAATTTTGTCCATCTGTTATTTAGTTTATTTTTCAGCTGCTTTGCCTTTAAAAATGTAATTTTTTATGCAAGTGAAAGAAATATATCCAAAACAGATTTAAAATTACAATATTTGATATCTGGCAAGCAGATTTCTAGCTCCTAATAAGGTCAGTTTTTCTTTTTGTGCCTGCAAGAATATACTCATTCTGTGTGGCAAGTTTTGACATGACTTGTGACATCGATTACTATAATTTTATGTGGGAAGTTTTCAAACATGGTTATCACACAAGAGTAAGTGAACAAAATAAGTTAAGGGCTATTATTAATGTCATGTGTATCTGTTTGAGAACAGTTAAAGCATTTAAGGGCTTGCCTTTCTTGTAAGTTGTATACATCTTTTGAGCTAGACTTTTTTTACGAGAAATCAGTATTTTCTAGTTTACCTTTAACTATTTTAACCCTTTGAGCCCGCCAGGCCGATAAACCGGCTTCAACATTAGGCATATATGTCCGAAAAGCCGGTTTTCCGGCCCGATGATCTAGCGTCATATTCCTAGCGGCCTGTATACCGTCTAATTAAATATAATTAGCGGAAGACTGACTAAAACTGCGCATATGTCTTTTGAGTGGGGGAGTATGATTTTAAAAATTGATTTTTAGGAAAAGTGAAAGCTGAGCCACAGCCGTCGACTTCATCACATAAAGTTGGTGCAAAAGATGAAGCAAAAGACCGAAATATCAACAAAAGAAGTAGAATGACTGCATCTCAGGCAATACAACTACTTATTGATTCTGATGAAGAAGATAATATTCCTGGTCTATATTGTGATGATAGTGACGTTGAATTTGAGACTGAACACAGTGACATTGAAATTGACTGTGACAATGAAACTGTTCAAGTACGTTCTGATGCATGTGGTGTCAAGGACACAAAGACTTGCCGAAACGAAAAAAAAACATGCGAATTTTTTCTTTGCATCGGGTCCGGCAGTGATAACTGTTTTGAAAGTTATCACACAAAAGTGGACTTCTGGCGATGAACTAGTATGGCCAGGTATCAATAAAAACAAAACAATTACTAAATGTACATTGGTTTCTTCTATGTTTTATCAAAACAATAATTATGTGTTCGTTTTATATACATTGTTCTGTTCAAACATTGTAAAGAAAAAATAAAGTATTTCAGAATCTTGCTGCATTGTTGTTTGATCCTGAGTCTGGATACCGAATTTGGCTTGATTATCTCAAACGGTTCAAAAGTTATAGGCAAAGTTAGAAGCAGATAAGTGAAAATCGGTTTGGGCCTGGGAGCTCAGGAAATACGAGAAATTAGATCAGGGAGGCCAGGGCTCAAAGGGTTAATAAAAAGACCAAAAGAAATATTTTCTACTTTGCCAATTTTAGGGCTTATAAATTGACTTATTTCAGTAATAAATGTCACTACCTGTGTAAAAAAATTTAAAAAGTTGAAAAAAAAATCCCTATCATATGAATATATTCACTCTAAGTAGCCTACTTTTGTTGTGATAATGTGATACAAATTTAAGTTTTTAAAACAAAGTGAATGTACTAAAATACAAAAGCTAACCACCACCAACATAAATTCAAGTATATTTTTTGTATTTTGCTTTAATTTTCTATTATGTTAAATAATAAAGTGGGCCATATGTTCCATGATATTATTGTGTACAGTTTTATAACAAATTAGGATGCAACAATAAAAATATTTTCTTTACCACGATCTAAATCATATGTTTATGATCATTTAATTATTTTTCATATAATAATATTCTCACTAATTTTCATTTTTTTTGTTGTATTTATTGTTATGTTACGTTTTATTTTAAAGACCAAAAAAACTTTTTATCTTCAAATTATTGGATTGTATGTACTAGCTTGACTTTACTTAATTTATTAACACGTTAACATAGAACGTATCCTTGCCATACGAGGACATATTATGACCATATTACGTATCCGGTTAACAGGTCACTTTATGTTTAGACATATAGTTTAACCACAGCGACATATTTATTGTATTTAGAATAAGTTTTGTCAATTGTAATAATTAATTCCAAAAAATGAATTGTCATTGGGTTTTTCTTTTTCTTTTTAAACACAATAATTGTATGAAAACGGTCGGCGTGGTCGAGTCGGTAAAGCTTATGGTTGCTAAACCGAAAAGTTCCGAGTTCGAACTTTAAGGCAGAGGAGACTCGTTAGCTCGGGACATCCACTCTACTAGGAGAGACAACTCCAAAATCAAACAACTGCTTCCTTGTTGTTTGTTCTTGGTTGGACAAAAGCGATCAAAGCAAACACAAAAACATAACCAGGCTGAAATCAGAGTCAATGGTCTTAAAAGCGCATAACCAGTTGACACGCAATATTTATTGTGTTGTAGGTAATCCCTTCCAAAATTAAAATTTAGAACGAAGAAGAAGAAGTAAGAAAAGGTTTGTCACATTACATTTAACATGTTAAAATTGCAATAAGAAATATGATATTCGTAGATTAAAACTAAGTTTGTATAGACAGGGTAAGTGGGCTTGCCGAACATTAGACAATCCTACCACATCAGGGGGACGAAACTAGATTAAAGGGTTAGCTAGGCTATGGATGAAAGGGTTATGAAAAAACACCTGCGTTCCAAGGTAGCCGTTCGCTTTGTTTAGCGGGCAGTCCCTAAAGAGGAAGATGTTCGCTCTATGTGGACAATACAACTATCAATTAAAGTCAATAGAGATGTTTTGGTCACGCCCTGGTGATCACGAGACATATGTTTATTTAAACGACAGAAAAGTCATTGCAGAGCAAAGTTAATCACAGTGTTCATGCAAACAGAGCAATATGACTGGTGAATACCCAGTTATGGCGTCTTTCGTTACATCGCACAAAGGCATCTGCAATTTTAAGAAGTAAGATATACGCTAGACATTCAACAGCCAGCAAAGAAAAGTTAACGTTACAATTGTGTTGATCATGAAATAAAAACACAATTTTTACATTACGAACCTGACGACCCATACACCTTTTTACTTTCTCGTGTATACGAAGTATGGAGAAAGTCGGAACAACATAATTTTGCAATCTTATCCACATGTCTGTGTATGTGTGTGTGTGTATATATTTATATGTATGTGTGTGTGTGTGTGTGTGCGTGTCTTTGTGTGTCTGTAAACACGATAACTTGAGTACCGTTACAGCTAGGTTGATGAAATTTCATATATAAGTATTGTATCACATTTTTAGATTCGTGTCAACTTTTGAGCGATTTCCGATAACCAAAAGTGGAACTTTTTCTACTTTGAATTTTTCAAAACCCTATTTCCGATGACCGAAAGTAGTTATTTTCGCTATTTCCGATTCCTCAAAAAACGCATGTAAATTTTATAAAGTACTAATAATATTTCGCACTATTATGCACATTTTGTTTTGCTTTCACTTGGTGTTTCATATAAGAATATTCGAGAAGATTAGGGGAGATCACTCCCGGTTTATGTACATTACTTTAAAAATAGTAATTACAGTAGAGTTTCATGACTGAAAAACGTTGCGCGCCAAATTAACATGAAAATGCGCTAATAATGATGGTTTCGCCTAATTTATTTACAAAATTTTGATGAATTTAAAAAAAAAATGAGTCAAATCTGATTTCAAAAGGCATTGGCATCAGTTCTTGACCCACGTGCAAAGTTGGAACGATACGGTGAGTAATCACTGTTCGGAAATTTTGCTCGACAGTTTCGATCTAAGCCGACGGACAGAAAGACACAGAGAGAGGAAGTAAGTTAAGAAAAATCTTGATAAATTTCTTCACGAACATATTCGCACCACTGCTGAACAAACCACAGGCATGTAATGTATGTATTGCAATGAGGTCGCGTCTAAATCTTGGATATTTAAACCAAATAAACATATTAACTCGAGAGATCGTTTTTGAAAGGTCACCACATATTTGTCGTTGCTCTCTTAATGTAGAGGACAATATTTAAACTTCACATGTATTGTTGGTAAGGTAAGCTCGTAAAAAAAAACCCTTTCATTTTATAAAGATAAAACACAAGTATTTTATCAAAACACCATACTAACAGTGTTTCACTTAGATCTATATGGTGTGTCCAATATCCGCCACCCCTCCTCCCCAAACCCTAACGGTTCGCCTTAAATCTTTCGACCCCTTAAACAACAAAAGCATACACTATCCGCCTTTAACAAACCAGCTACCCCCCCCCCCCCCACTCATACATATTACTTCACCACCACCTCCATCCCTAAAACACCCTTCTGCCCGCTCCCCATTGTTTTTACAGCCATACGCAGTTGTTGGTGAACCAGGTTTCTATAATTAGACTGTGCCAGCACGTTGTTTATCATAATAATCAACGTCTTCACATACATAAGAAGTACCAGTTTGAAGTATTTTCAGGTATGAAATGATAAGAATGATCGAAATCCCCACCAAAATCCTCTCAAAAAATACGTTTAAAGAATCCCTTTAGTATTTTAAATATCAAGGAAACAGTTACAATAATAATCAACTTATATTTCATCTATTTACCAAGGTAACTTTGTCATAAATTGTATATAATAACTTAATTTAAGCCAAACTTTATGCTCTTAAAAGATTGTATTAAATAACTTAATTTAAGCCAAAACTTCGGCTCTTAAAATATTGTATTTAAATAACTTAATTTAAGCCAAACCTAAGGCTCGTAAAATGTTGTATTTAATAACTTAATTTAAGCCAAAACTTAGGCTCTTAAAAGGTTGTATTTAAATAACTTAATTTAAGCCAAACCTAAGGCTCATAAAATGTTGTATTTAATAACTTAATTTAAGCCAAAACTTAGGCTCTTAAAAGGTTGTATTTAAATAACTTAATTTAAGCCAAATCTAAAGCTCGTTAAAACATTTCAGAACAAGGTAACTTTGTCATAAAGTTTCATTTAATAGCTTAATACTAATATGAAAGTGATTTGATATAGGTTGATTTTGTTGTGTGCGTGGACGTATTTAATTTTACTTCTTGCTTCTCAGTATATAATTGAGTACAAATATATTTACAGGCAGTACACACGCGTCTAAAATGAACGAATTCGTAATGCTGGTGTACTTGGCCGTTTTTTCCCTGTTTGTGGCCTATTTTAATTATCTTGCCATGCTGTTCGGTTTATTGACATCACTTGTATTCGGCGCAATTGGACCATTTTTATTAACAAATCTTGGATTTACCAGACGTAAGACTTATTTTTCAATTAATACAATCGTTTTTATAACACTCTTTAATATATTGTACGATATAAAAGCGATAGAAAATATTTTTTAAAATATTTATAATAATTCACCACTAAAAAACTAATAAGATAAGCATAGGTTTATCATATAATTTCAGTAAGGTTATATAATACATAATTTAGGGACCCTCGTTTTTTTAAAGTTATACTAGACTACCCATTATCTAGTTAGATAACTGGGTTTCGGGGGTCATCCATAAATGACGTCACGTGTGTGACTTATCATCACAAAATTCCCAGACCCCACATTCAAAAAGACGTTTTTTTATCTTTTAAAAACACCGATTTCAGCTGAGCATGGGTCTGACCACATTATCCTTTCATTTACTGACGTCACAGGTGACCTACTCATCTCTACTTCTCCTGCCCAGTGTCCCGCCAAGTCTCCGACATCATATATCATATATGCTCAGAATTTTAGCACAAATGTCTCAGTAATGCAAAATTAAATTAAAAAATTGCCTATGGGAAGCTAACTAATTCAATGTGGGTTTTTTGTTTAGGTGGGATTCAGCGCGGCACCGTAGCGTCCTACATCAGCTCTGCAGCCAAGAAGACCAGACTTACTCGTAAGATCTTTGGGTTACTCCAGTCGCTCGGCGTTACTCAGGACTACATGAAAATAACGCATCTAGGTGGCTTCCTCGGCGGCTGTTCTGTCATACTGATACAGTTGGTGATTGGTCTGTATGATGCCGGGGATTAACTGTACAAGCTCACTGTTCAGCACCAACATCGACAACCATCGCTCAACCTCACCATCACACACCGCCATCAAACACCAACATCGAATACCATCATGAGAAACCTTTACCAGGCACCAACATCAAACACACCACTGTTCAACACCGCCAAGACGAGTTCGAATAGTTAGCTAAACACTAGATTTTATTAAGGAAACTATACTAACGTTTTCTACTATCAGGGGAAATAGGCTAAATCTTGTGCCTGTCTTATATGTTACTATTGTTAGGAACAATGATCTAAAAATAACAGATGTGTTTAGAAAAAAAGTGGATTTATCAAAATAGAAAAGCTACTCATTAACAAAATCAATTCAAGTCTATAATTTATTATGTATTTATAAATTTAAAATATTTAAGTGGACAACTTGTAATGGATAATAATACCATACATTCCATCATATTATTATGTGCAGCTTTATCAATAAGTTATTTAAATGTAAAAACAAAATATATTTTTTTCTAACACGATCCCTATCGTATTAATATGTTCACTGTGTTTTTGTTGTGATAAAGTGATACTAATTTTCCTTTGTTAGACTGAGAAGCAATTAAATAGGATATAGAAATAACAGATGTGTTTTTTTAACAAAATTGAATGTACTAAAATAAGAAAGCTATCCACCAACAACATACATTCATGTATATAATGTATATTGCATTTATATACTATTATGTTAAATAATAAGGTGGACCATATATCACATGATATTATTGTGTGCAGTTTTATAATTAAATTGGGATACAAAAATAAAAATAATATTTTTCAAGTCGATCTAAATCATATGTTTATGATCGTTTTATTTTTTTACTTTTTTGTGTGATAATATTATCACTAATTTTCATTTTTTTTAAATTTATTTTTATGTTATTTTATTTTCAATGTGAAAAGAACTTTCTTTTTCAAATTATTGGATTTTATGTGCTTGTTTGACTTAAATTAATGTGTTCTATATGAGGGCATATTATGACCATATTAGCCAGGGGCAGCCACTCTAATAGGTTAGACAACTCCAAAATCAAACAACTGCTGCCTTGTAGTTTGTTCTTGGTTGGACAAAGTCTATGGAAGCAAATCCAAAAATAAAGCCGGCTAAAATCGGAGTCAATGGCCTCAATGACGCATAACCAGTTGTCACGTATACTTAATTGTGTTGTAGGGGATACCTTTTAGCAGTAAAAAAGAACGAAGAAGAAGAAGTAAGAAAAGGTTTGTCACATTACATTAAACATGTTAAAATTGTAATAATAAATATAATATTCGAATATTAAAACTAACTTTAGATAGACAGTGTAAGTGGGCTTGTTGAACATGAGACAATCCTACAACATCAGTTGGACGAAACAAGAACAAAGCAGTGTTTCTTCCAGACTTTTTTCTCCGGGGGGGGGGGGGGGGGCACTTGAAATTTTCGGGGGGAGGGGGGCGGTAGACTTTCATCGGGGTGGGGGGGGGGCGGTCACTGTTAAAAGTATATATTTTCTTTATATAAATTTCATTTCGTTCGGGCGGCGGTAGAATTTTTTCGGGGGGGGGGGGGGATGCCTGGAAGAAACTCTTGATCAAAGGGTTAGCTGGGCTATAGCTGGAAGTGTTATGAAAAAAAATTTCATAAAAAACGTTTTAAGAACAAGCTTTTATGTACTAATGCACTAAAAAGTAGAAAATAAATTATACACTACTATTTAAATTACTAGAAAGAAAAGCGTGGGTCACTTTAGTATCTATTGGATACTTTTACTAATGTTAAGGAAGACACCCACGCTTTTCTTTATAGTAATTTAAATAGTAGTGTATAATTTATTTTCTACTTTTTAGTGCATTAGTACATAAAAGCTTGTTATTACAACGTTTTTTATGATTTTTTTTTCAGTACTTTACATGTTTTATTTACAATAGAGTTACATGACTGAAAACCATTGCGCGCCTATTGAACATCACGTTCAGTAGGCGCGCAATGGTTTTTGAACGCAGCCATTGAACGTGATGGCGCAGCTATTGAAGGTGATGACGCGTGTGGTGTGGTTGGCTAGACATGCCTACTAATTCGGTCCAAATTTTAATTAATTCACAAAAAATTAATTAGGCATCCAATTAAGTCAAATTTAGTTTCAGATTGCATTGTCTTTATGTCTTGACCCACGTGTCAAATGTGAATCGTATCGGTCAAGTAGAAGTTTCCGAATTTTCACTCCTGCGTTTCGATCTAGACTGACGACAGACTGGCGACGACAGAGGAAGTGAGTTAAATAAAAGCTTGTAAAAACACCCACATTGCCAGGTAGACGCTAGCTTTCCTGGCGCATACATGCCCAACAGGGGAAGATGTTCGCTCTATGTGGACAATACAACTTTCATCTAAAGTCATGAGTGATATTTTGGACACACTCTTGTGATCATGTAAAAGTAAAATTCCTTTTCAAACCTTATGGGATATGGTGCAAGTGAAGTAGAGTTCACCTGTTTCTGTGACCTCGGCATATGAAGAGATAGTGTAGTCAGCACTATGACCAGACGCCTTTACTTTCCCTAACGTGAGTTAGGTACCCATCAGAGTTGGGTGACTCAGGGATGGTCTACTGACTTGAACTGGGATTCGAAATGATCACGAGGCGTATGTTTATTTGAACGACAATTGTCATTACGGAGCAATGTTAATCACAGTGTGCATGCAAACAAAGCAGCATTACTGGTGATTAGCCAGTTATGGCGTCTTTCGCTACATCACAGAGAGGCATCCGCAGTTTAAAGATGTCCGATTTACGCTAGACAACAGACAGTAAATAAAAATTAACGTTACAATTGTGTTGATGATGCAACCAAACACAATTTTTACATTACGAACCTGAAGACCCAATGACTTTTTTGAAAACTATTTCACGTGTTTTGAACATTAATGTAAGAAGACTTTCATGATTTAATATTTTCTTGTATTTAATTCGTTACTTTTGATTTTTAGTTACATTATTTTCTGGTTTTTTTTTTGTGTGTGAAAAGTCAGTTAATGCATTTTGTTTGCCCAATTCACACACACACACACATATATATATATATATATATATATATATATATATATATATATATATATATATATATATATATATATATATATATATATATATATCTTTATTTACATTTTTTCGGCTTTATGTTAATTTGTGCAGTTTCTGCCTTTAGGGAATAACTAAAGTTCCTTTTATATAAAAAAAAAATAAATCGTTGTGCAAGTCATGAAATTATTGTAAAGATAAAATATTGTAGAATTTCAACACAATTTTATTCAATAAAACTTAGTAACATCGTAAAAAATATATCTATCCATCCAAGATTATTGGCTTTCTTAGACAAAAAAACTCCTTAAGAGGGGTTTTATTATGCTATTATTATATTATTTAATATTAACATTTTTAAAAATCGAATTGAATATCTCTAACTGTGATTGATTCTTTGATCTGTACCTGTCTTGACAAAAGTTTTGATTTCGTTTTTTTAAGCTGTTTTTTTCCAGTCCTGCGTGAAGTTCCTTTTCCAAACCTGACGGTCTATTGGGTAAGTGAAGTAGAGTTCATCTGTTTCTGTTACCTCGACATATGAAGGGATAGTGTGGTCAGCACTATGCCCAGCCGCCTTTACTTTCCCTAAGGTGAGTCAGGTACTCGTCAGAGCTGGGTGGACTCAGGGACGGTCTACTGTTCGTTCGAATTGAATATATCAAAAGTGAGCTTAAAATCTACTCTAATAGTATTTTATAAATAGAATACTGTGAAGCTTTATGGTAGACTAAGCAACTCTTGTGGCAAACTGTTCAAGACTTGTGGTTAAATTGGCCAGTGGTAAAACAATTGTCTTGTGGTTTAATGGTCATTCATTTAGGTTAAGTGGTCAAGAACTGTTTCTAAATGGTTAAGTTTTGTGGTTAAATGGTCATGTGGTGTGGTTAAATAGTTGAGTCTTGTGGTTAAATGGTTGAGTCTTGTGGTTAAATAGTTGAGTCTTGTGGTTAAATGGTTGAGTCTTGTGGTTAAATGGTTGAGTCTTGTGGTTAAATGGTCAAGTCTTGTGGTTAAATGGTTGAGTCTTGTGGTTAAATGGTCAAGCCGTGTGGTTAAATAGTTGAGTCTTGTGGTTAAATGGTTGAGTCGTGTGGTTAAATGGTCATGTCGTGTGGTTAAATGGTCAAGTCTTGTGGTTAAATAGTTGAGTCTTGTGGTTAAATAGTTGAGTCTTGTGGTTAAATGGTTGAGTCTTGTGGTTAAATGGTCATCTCGTGTGGTTAAATAGTTGAGTCGTGTGGTTAAATGGTCAAGTCGTGTGGTTAAATGGTCATCTCGTGTGGTGAAATGGTTGAGTCGTGTGGTTAAATTGTTAAGTTTTGTGGTTAAATGGTTGAGTCGTGTGGTTAAATAGTTGAGTCTTGTGGTTAAATGGTTGAGTCGTGTGGTTAAATGGTTGAGTCTTGTGGTAAAATGGTTGAGTCTTGTGGTTAAATGGTTGAGTCTTGTGGTTAAATGGTCAAGTCGTGTGGTTAAATGGTCAAGTCGTGTGGTTAAATGGTTAAGTCGTGTGGTTAAATGGTCATGTCGTGTGGTTAAATGGTCAAGTCGTGTGGTTAAATGGTTAAGTCGTGTGGTTAAATGGTCATGTCGTGTGGTTAAATGGTCAAGTCGTGTGGTTAAATGGTTAAGTCGTGTGGTTAAATGGTCATGTCGTGTGGTTAAATGGTCATGTCGTGTGGTTAAATGGTCAAGTGGTGTGGTTAATGGTTGACTCTTGTGGTAAAATGGTCAAGTCTTGTGGTTAAATGGTCATATGTGGTTAAATGGTCATGTCGTGTGGTTAAATAGTTGAGTCTTGTGGTTAAATGGTCAAGTCTTGTGGTTAAATGGTTGAGTCTTGTAGTTAAATGGTTGAGTCGTGTGGTTAAATGGTTGAGTCTTGTGGTTAAATGGTCATGTCGTGTGGTTAAAAGGTCAAGTCGTGTGGTTAAATGGTCAAGTCGTGTGGTTAAATGGTCAAGTCTTGTGGTTAAATGGTCATCTCGTGTGGTTAAATGGTTAAGTCTTGTGGTTAAATGGTCAAGTCGTGTGGTTAAATGGTCGTGTCGTGTGGTTAAATGGTTGAGTCGTGTGGTTAAATAGTTGTGTCGTGTGGTTAAATGGTCATGTCGTGTGGTTATATGGTCAAGTCGTGTGGTTAAATGGTCAAGTCTTGTGGTTATATGGTCATGTCGTGTGGTTAAATGGTTGAATATTGTGGTTAAATGGTTGAGACTTGTTTCTAAATGGTAAAATGTTGTGGTTAAATGGTCAAGTCTTGTGGTTAAATGGTTGGCTCTTGTGGTTAAATGGTCAAGTCTTGTGGTTATATGGTCATGTCGTGTGGTTAAATGGTGGAGTATTGTGGTTAAATGGTTGAATATTGTGGTTAAATGGTTGAGACTTGTTTCTAAATGGTAAAATGTTGTGGTTA